CAGGGGGCGCCGCGACGAGCAGGGACGGCGCCCAGGGGGCGCCGCGATGAGCAGGGATGGCGCCCAGGGGGCGCCGCGACACGCGCGGCTGGGCAGGGCGGTGCGCGGGCTGCAGAGGCAGCGCTCACGGGCTGCAGGGGCGACACGCAGCCCGGACGGGCGGCGCGCGGGCTGCAGAGGCAGCGCCCAGCTGCAGGGGCAGCACGGTCGTAGAGGCAGCACGCGGGCTGCAAGGGCAGCACGGCTGCAGGGGCAGCTAAAAAAAATGTATCCAGTTAGGGCAGGGCGGAACGTTCGGTGGGTCCTCGGAATGATTCTGCTCTGATACCATGTGAGAATAATAACGAGGAATTAATGAACTAGCAAGCAGGTGGGTACAAGTATGAAAACCTAAAAGAGTTGTACCCCATATTGTCTACCTCACTACAGCCTACAATATAGTTATAACAGGGAAGGCTAAACGCGGCCCAGGGAATCGGAACTGCGCGCGCCGGGAAGAGAAATTGCAGTCGACGGGAATCGGAAATATGAGCTACGTCTAGAAGAAATGTCGTTGATAAAAAGAAGTGTAATGCAGCGGGAAGGAGAAATTTGGCCGATATGAACAATGACACCTGGCATTTTTCCTATCACATTTGCACTTCATGCTTTGAAATAAGCTCGTCCGTCTCTCTGGATGATATTCTTGGGCCGTGCCAAATGTGTGATTTCAGCGTATTGGGTCGCTGTTAGTGGTATTACTTGTAGTCTAACTATTAGGTCGAGTATGGGAGGTATGTCAAGGTGTTGTTGGCTACTTGCTCTTAAAACTGGTATACGATTGTTATAACTCAGGAATTTGAGTGGATAGGATAATGCTTGCCAAGCGTAGTAAAGACAACGGAAGTCTAAATGACCTTGTGTATAATAAAGTAAAAGGAAACAAGATTATAAACATAACAGCAGTGGTCAATACAACACTCTCCTAGCTAGCACAGGAGAAACCATTGCAGGGGAGGAAAAACAAGAGGAGGAAGAGGAGGCGGAGATTAGGAGGGAGTGTTGTCTTTGTCCTGTGCGGGGTGGGGTTTAAAGCCCACGACCATCAGGCTCGCCCTTCCCGGGAACAGCAGAAGCAAGGGGGAGGCGCCCTGGAGTAAAACAGCAGCAGCAGTGGTTGGGGGTAGGGGTGTTCGAGGAGTAGCGTTTGGGGGAGTGGGGTTGGGAGGAGGAGCGGGTGCGGGAGGGGTTAATTGCACGGCAGCGGTGGGCGCATCTGGTGTGTGGGCTATGGATGCCGGGCGTGAGTGTGCTGGGGGAGGGCGAGGGAGAGGTGCTGGACGGCATTCAGCTCGTGGATCCAGAGCGGTTCAAACTGGTGAGAAACGATAACAGCTGGTGAGAGGTGGTGGTGTCCGTTTCTGCAGTCAGTGTGTGTATGTGTGTTGGTGTCATTTTCCGCTAAGCTCACTCACACGTTGCCTCTCCTGTCCTGCTGCTCCCTTTTTTTTGCAGGTTGTTTTTTAAAATTCTGAAATACAACCTTCTGAGAATTCCGATGTACAACCCTCTGAGAACTCTGAAATACAACCTTATGAGAATTCTGAAATACAACCTTCTGCCAATTCTGAAATACAACCTTATGCCAATTCTGAAATACAACCTTATGCCGATTACAGTTGCGGGGTGGTCAACAGTTACTGTCAGAATGTCATTCTCTAGCCTGTAGTGGGGTGCTCTATAGCGAGTACAACCCATCTAGGGTTTGCTATATGTATCCTCATTGCTGCTAGTGAAACCCCTCTTCTTCATTCCTCATTTTCTCACAGTTACGACCGTTGACTTCTTTCGACTGTTGACCTTCGCTTGCACGCTCTTGTTTGTGCTGATGCGGTATTGGTACAGTACGCCGCTTCGATATGAAGTGGTGCGCTAAGGGAGAACTTTCGGGAATGTTAAATCATCCTTGGTTATTCCAATACATATTTCCCTTGGTAACGATACCAGATTGTCATTTTCTTTTTTTTTTGGGAAATAATCAAATTGGGGCCGAAGAGTTGTCTGGGAAATGAGCGAACAAGGGCTGGATGATTCGTTCCCGGAGCAGTCTAGGAAGTTAGGCCAACAAAATCGAGTTATGAAGAGAAGATAAATATCACAAGCACTGAATTTTATTGCTGAAATTGTTTTTGCAAGGGTTACCGTATGATCACCGTCTTTCCCCACGCGCTCGTCGTATTTTTCTTGGGTGGAATATAATCACATTCAATTTAAACAACAACATATTATACTCTGAATAAAACATACATACAATTATCAGGGGAGCGGACAAAATAAACGTTTTTTTTTTCTGCCCTGCTTTATCTTCTCCCGGTAGCATCGTGTAGTGCCGGCAGCGGTACGAGGTCGCTAAACAACACTACAATTGCGTAAATATGTGAGGGTTTTGTATACACCGTACATCGGAACATAAACAATAGGCACTATTATTCACCTTTCACAAAGATGACTCGAGAGCGAAAAGGCGAGCTGTTCACTGAATAAATTTAGGTTAGGGAGTGATGACTGCTTGTTATCCCCTTTCCGTGCTGCGGTTTGGTTAGCTCCGGGCCTCTGTCCCTGGTTGCTCATCCCTGTCGAGATGTATGGCCCCAATCTGATATTTTCCAATTGTTTTCGCCAGCTCGCAACTTTCGAGATTCTTCCGAACCTCAGTTTGCTTGACCCCCAAACCGAGCCAAACCCAGTGTTGACGTGACAGCCCTGCTTCCACCCACTGAACCTGGCAGCATTCGGCTGTCACACTGTTACGAAAGGAACAGCCGTTCCACCACCACCTCCGCCATGGATTTTGTCATGGACTTTGACCCGCGTGTTCGTGAAGCCAGATTGTCAGTTGACTTCAATAAAGACAGTTCCGTGTTCCTTACAACAAGACGAAGCGATCTATATACTTGTTGTGTCCATCAGGCGGACATTGTATCTGCTTCAAAAGTGTACACGGATTCATGTCCGTTTATGAAGTTCAAGGTTCCCTTGCTTCTGGGTCACATGCGGCTCCTTCGGAGCTTCTTATTTCACAGTGGTTATCGCGATCTACTTTCAAGGTTAATCTTGCCTTGAGGAAGCTATCAGGGGCCTCCCTCGGTTTCATATCATCAGGAACATCATCACTTGCAAGACTCCTATTTAACAAGGACGACAAGGCTTCTTAGGCTCAGACTTCAGCCGTTCAACTGTTGGCCAGCTTCTTTCGCTGGTTTATCTTCGTCTCCAGATCATCATCGCCTAACCATGCCTCCTAAGCATGTGAAGCCCGTCGATGCTTAGGGGGGGATCCGTGATGCTCCTGATTCGCCTGCAGCGGCAACAGGGGGTGTTTCCGACAATGCGGTCAATGGTGCTGCTACTGGTGGTTCTGGTCTTTCTATTGCTGACAAGCTTCAGATCCCGTCAGTGGCCACGGCCTCCACTGCGGACAACAACAAAGCACTAACGACGGACTCTGACTTTGACGATGAACTTGACTTCGATTTCCAACAAGTTGTTTCTGCGGATCTGCGTTTCACGGCTCTTCTGCTCATACCGTTTGCTTTGTCGCAGGAGATGGCTTCGGTCATTTCCTCTGTTAAGATGCTGCTTAAGCGTGTCTGGGCTTCGTTGCTATCGGCTGCTGCTTCTTCTTCCGTGAAGCTCCAGGAGCTCTTGCCGTCGTATGTGGCCAAGACCAAAATCTGTCGTCTTCAGCTCTCCTTCCTGCTGGAAAGTGATGCTTTGGGGGTGCGCGAGAAGGAGGTGGTTTACCATAAGTCCAATGGGACATAGTTCAAGATTTTTTGGCAACACACAGAGGATGCTGGTTATGCAAAAGAGAAGTCTCTGAATCCGCATGCTATTGAGGTGGTTTTTAAAGGCATCTCTGCTAACATCTCACCGGATCTGTTGAAGGAGTGTCTGGCGAAGTACAATCTGAAAGGGAAAGAGCAACCGATCTTCCGCGCTGGCAGCTGTTTCCATCGGGTTCTGCATCCTGTTACGGGAGCTGACACGGATGTCATCAAGGGCCTGGTCTACAGTCACAATGATGGTCAGCTCAACTGGAAGCAGGTCATCGCCAATCCGCTGGAACGGGGGAAGAAGCTGCTGATCCATTACCCGGCCTTATCCTGTTCTCTCTGCGGAAGACATCATCATGATAAGTATCATGATGTGTTTGTCACTGAGAGACTGAATAATGTTGGTAAATGGAATCTGTCTTTGGGCAGGGTGCATCGTCTTAACGGTAACAGAGCTCTCCGCTATACTACGGTCGCTTTCTCTCACCTTCTTGCTTTTACTGACGCTTGTGTGGCTTCTCGCAGCTGCTTCTCTTCTCGCGTCCCCCCTGGTCCTCCCTATTCTTCGCGATCCTGATGTTGCGCTGATCTCCACCGGTGGAAACAGGGAGGAATGGCTCTGCACGCAGTCGGCTTCGGCGAGTCATCTGCTTCACCAGGAGAAGTTCGGCTCCGCCACGAAGCTGTCTCTCAAGAAGATGAATCTCAGCACCATTCGGAAGGAGTACGGTTTTTAGCCTGCTCAAGAGGGAAGGGGTGTGTAGTGGAGATTAGCTTGTGGTCAGCTGTCAGATCTGTCGGTTCGATGTCTCTTACCAGCCTGTGGATGAACTGGGGCTGCAAGTCGGTTTTGAAATGAATCTTAAAAACCACCTCACCTTCGCGGCCGTCAATGTTAACGGCCTGGGAGACTGGAAGAAGTAGGAACGAGTCACAGACTGGCACAGATCAGCGGCGGACATAATGATCTTAGCGGACACTAGGATAGCTTCAACTCACTCTTACTGGAACTCGCTCGCAAGCCTTACCTCCACCTCAGTACTTGCCGCATCTCCTCCGCCTTTGTCGAGAGCCGGTGGGGTTGCGGTGCTCAGCCGTAATCCGCTGGCCTCCTTTCAGAACACTTTGCTGCATCCATCCGGTAGATTAGTTAGAACCACAGTAGGTGGGGTGGGCCTGGAGCTCATGCTCTTATCCGTCTATTTCCCGGCGGACCGGGCCTTGAGAACACTTTTCTTCCGGGATGTCTTGGGCCCGGTGGTGGATCAGATCACCTCATCATCTCACCTTCTTATCATCGGTGACCTTAACCTGATTGAGGACCCCGCCCTGGACAAAACCTTGGGTTGTGGCTCATCGTTGGAGAACGAGAAGTTTTTTCTGCGTTGCTGCAGCTTCCGGCTCTCCGATGCGTTCCGGGTCCTGCATCCACGCAAGAGAGAGTACACGTTTTACTCAGCGGCGCAGCAGGAGAGTTCACGGATTGACTGGGCGCTGGTTTCTCAATCTCTGCTGCCTCACTTGTCATTGGCGTCCCATGAGATGCCGAAGGAGCCTATTGCGGATCATGGCTTCGCTATCCACGTGGCGTTCTGGCTGGATGCGAAGGTCCGCACGGGGCCGGGTATCTGGAGGCTCCATGCTTCCATGCTGCGCAGGCCGGGTGTTCGGAAGGTCATTGAGGCGACGGTGCGGCGTACACCAGTCAATGACGGCAGCAGTTTCGAGCTTCTGCTGTCGCGGCTGAGTGTTGGTCTCAGGTCCTACGCGAGGGAGGAGGGGAAGCGTGTGAAGGCCACGCTGGCGCACCTGCATCGGGCAGTTGCAGTCTTAAAACAGGAGTTAATGGGTGATCCAGGCTGCGGGAGGAAGAAGGCGCTGCTGGCGGAAAAGGAGCAGCAGCTAAAGGCGTACCATGCGGCTAGGCGGGATAAGCTGCATCTACAAGCGGGTTAAACAACTGAACTCACCGGGGAGATAGCCTCCAAGCATCTCTCCGCTAAGGTTTGGGCTCGGAAAGCGAGGACACATGTCGCGGAACTTAAGGTCGGTGGAACCACGGTTGGAGGACCCAGGCCGGTGCTGGAGGCTGCGTCGGAATTCTTCACGAACATCTTCGGGAAGGATCTCAGAACTGACTTCACGGGCTGGAAAGTGGCCCCAAGTCGACGCCTGCAGAGGGCTTGGCGTCTTTCCTGGAAGCAGACTCGACGGAGGAGGAGGTTAAGAGAGCATTCGCGGCAATGGTGAACAACAAGTCGCCGGGGGGTGATGAGCTGCCGAAGGAATTGTTTGAGATCCACTGGGACCTGCTGGGGGGGAGTTTTATGGCCATGGCGTGGGATTTCCAGGCATCGTCTTCTCTGCCCGACGAAATCAAGGAGGCGGTGACGATTCTGCTTCACAAAAAAGGAGAGAAAGATCAACTCAACAATTACCGTCTGATCACCTTGCTGAACTTCACTTACAAGGTTTTGGCATGAGTGATTGCGGACCCAATGAAGACGGTGTTGCACCAGGTCATCTCCCCGGAGCAGTACGGTTTCCTCCCCGGCAGGCGGTTGTCGGATGCGGTGTCCCTGGTGGCGGACATTATTGAGGCTGCAAGAAATGGAAGCAAGGACTGGCACCTGCTTCTGGTTGATTTTCAGAAAGCATTTGACTCAGTCTCCCACTGCTTTCTCTTTCAAGTGTTGCGGGGCATGGGCTTTCCTGATCAGTTTGTGGGGTGGATCGAGGGCCTGCACAGAGACACAAAGACGCGGGTGTTAATAAACGGATGGCTGGGCGAGGGGATGGAGGTGGTCTCAGGGGTTCGGCAAGGATGCCCTCTGGCGCCCTATCTTTTCCTGTGCGCTGTGGAGCCGTTGGCGCAGGAGGTGGAGCGAAGGAAGCTCGGCTTGTCTGAGGCAGGGCAGCAGCTCGGTTATTTGGGCTACGCTGATGACACGGCGCTGGTCCTGCAGAGGAAGCAGCAGATTGTCAGAGCGGTGCAGTTACTGTCGGAGTTCGAGAAGGTCTCGGGGCTTGCGACTAATGCGGACAAAACAGTGGTCTTACCTTTGGGTGTTAACACTCAGGTTAATGGCGGTACTTTGTGTGGCTTCAAGCGGGCCGGCGCGGACGATGCAGAGAGGCTGTTGGGCGTCTAGGTGTCTCCCTCCGGTAGCGGTTTACTGACCTGGGAAAAGGCGCTGGGGCACATCAGCGGGAAGTTAGTCAAATGGAAGCAGAAATACCTCACAACATCGGCAAGAGTGACGGTGGTGAACAGTTATATCACGCCGATAATCTCCTTTCACGCTCAGGTGTACTCGCCCCCGGTAGTCATCTGGGAAGAGCTGATGAGGCTGATTCAGGGCTTCATCTCCGGGAATAGGGTCTCGGGAGCGAAGGGCTTCCAGCTCTGGAGTAGGGAGCTGCTGTTCAAGTGTAGAGCGGCCGGAGGGATTGGAGTCAAGGACCCAGAGATGGTCATCATGTGTCTGGCCGCAAGGAGGGTGGGGCTGTTCCTTATTGAGCGCAGCCTGCTGAAGAAGGAGATCATGACGCTGGCAGCGGACCTCCCTCTCGGAGCGGATACCTTTGAGGCGCACGAGAAGCTGATTAAGCACTGGTCCGGCCGTGGCATTCGCTGGAAGAAGACGTGTGAAATTTTCATGCGGTCTCCTTTTGGGACCCGGGCTCCAGCTGGCACCAGGGAGGAAGTGCTGCGGGAGAGAATTTTCTTTAATCGCGAGATTCTACTAAACGGTACCACGCCGGTCGGAGGGCAGCAGGATGCTCAGCGACTGAAAGGGGTTCGCCTGGGTGATCTGCTGGTGCAAGGGTCTGACGAGGAGCTGGACCTAAAGACCATGGCGGCGTTAACTCAGCAGCTGGGGGGTAACGGCCCGGCTAAGCTTGCTCTCAAGGCACTGAGGGCTCTGCCTGCTGCTTGGCAGAGTCTGTTGGGTTTTCCAACTGTCCCTCCCTGCTCGGCTGACTCCCCCTAGAGGCTGGTGGTGGTGGAAGGGGGCCGGGTTGTGCTTGAGAGGCGGATGAAGGAGGGCTGGCGTGGCGCTGAGGAGCAGTCATACAAGCAGCAGAAGTGGGCGGAAAAGTGGCGCGGGACAATTGACTGGAAGCGGGCAAATGCGACTAGAGACTCCCTGGCGATTCCTAGGCGTCCGCGGGATGTTCTCATCAGAATCCATGGTTGGAAGTCGGGGAGAGGTTGGCTTTCCTCAGCAGCAAGCCTGTCTGCCCGTACTGCGGGGAATCGGAATCAATGGAGCACTGCCTCCTGCTCTGCCCACGTGTTCAGGTGGTTTCCTCGGCCCTCAGGCGTGCGTTGTGCATGCTGAATCCTGGCCGCAGGATTGACACGCTGGGTGATTTTTTGTTCCGGAAAACTGGCACCACCTCAGCATTTCCGGAGCTGACTCTCACCGCCATCACCTTCCATCAGCTCTGGATAGAACGGTGTGAGGCGGTGTTTCGTGGCGGTAGGTTCTGGACGTAGAGGTTTTTATGGAAGATTGCCTTTGCGTTCAGGCAACATGCAAGGATCTACACTCGGAAATTCGGCTCGGCGCGGCGGAAACAGTTGCGATGTAATTATGAGAAGGAGCGGATCATGCTTCGGAGGATAACACACGACGATGTCAGTTGGAAGTGGACAAGTGCGTTTGCAGCTTTGTGGTCACCTCGAAGGGCGGGTCCCAACGTGCCCTAGTGTGTTTTTGTTTCGGGGTTAGGGTCTGCCCTGCCCCCCACGCACGGTTACGACCGTTCTTGGTGTTGTACGCTTGCTCTTTCGGTGTACTCAACCAATTATCATTAAAAAAAAAAAAAAAAAAAAAAAAAAAAAAAAACTGTTACGAAAGGACACTCCCATCACGTATATTCACGCTCTTTTTGTCATTCGTTAGCTCGTGTGTTCCTAGCTGAGCAAGAAGTCTAGTGCTTGTTGAATGCTTGTGCGCAGAGTCGGGTAAACTGCACCTGTGCATCGGGGATAGAAAAATCACGAGGGAGAGAGCGACAGAAGAGGTTGTGCCGAGCTGAACTGGAGAAATATAATGTATGTTTCTTTGCAGTACAAATGGTGTGCCCCCATTTCACTCGTTGTCATCATGACCCGACAGTCTTGCTGGCTGCCGCGGCGCGTCTCGCGGAGATGCGAGCTTCCCCGTGAAGGTGCATCTCGTCGCGTCACACGCAGACCGTTGCAGTAGAAACGGCACTCGTCGGGCACGCGCTACAAATATAGCCACCATGTTATCGGGCTTGTCGGCCGTTGCAAGTCATCCCCAGTCTTAGTCTTCTCCCGTGGTACGACGTGCAGGAATGTCACGCTGGGCAGTCGCCGTCGTCGCAGGGCGCGCCGACTCAGCGTCGATCATGGCTGCCGCGGCTCTCTCGTGCCGCGGCATGCTCATGGCGGGAATCTTCCAGGTTCACCAGTCATTGCTGGCAAGAATTGGAATCTTCCGTCGAGCACCTGCAGCATCGCGGAAAAGGATGGAGGCTGGATTCCCGAGTTCCAGCCTCGCGCTGTGTCTTCTTTATATCTAGTGCTACTAGAGCTCAGCTTTTTTCAAAGCCTTCACGCCTCACCACACTCACCACCCGTCACCACACCTCACCACGCCTCACATTCATCAATTTCTTTCTGCCCATCTCACCAACGCCTGCTGCCCCTTTTTATTCACCCCATCTGCCCTCCAGTTGCCTTTCTTACAACTCTCTGACTGGCAACCTTGACGACCTTACCCCACTGACCAATCTAATGGGACTGTGTGTGAAACCACTCCTATTCTCCATCCACCCACCCATTTACTCTCCCACACACCTCTCTCCCTCCCCTCTCTCCTCAAGTCCCGCTCCTGTTTTCATCCACAATTCCATTACTCAATCAGCCCCTCTCACACTCGCGCTCTCTCACCCTCCACCCTCTCGCTCTCCCACTGTCTCACTCCCCCACCCTCCCTTGTTCCACTTGCCAGTCCCTCCAGCTTCTAACCACTCTGGCGCCCCTTATCCTGTGTCCGCTTTGTCAATGCCACTCGCACCTCTCCTCCCACCTCTCCTTGCTCCCAGCTGATCCCCCCCCACTCTTCCCCACCATCTCTCCCCCCTTTCTTGCACTGCAATCATCTGCACCGCACACCACCTAGGGAGTTATCCAACAACTCCTTATCCGGCCCTCTCCCCACCACGCTGAGGGAACTCCCCCGTCTAGAAAAACTGTGAGCTATGAGGGTCACCTAGTGTGCATGATAGAGTCTATTTTTGAGGCACCTACATAAACGTCTGTGCGTGATAGAGAGTGTGATGCGCAGCCAGGTGCACCATACTGTCTCGTGCCAGCGTCCCCTCACTTACCTTTGCCACTTCCTCCCCTCACTTGGTGGCCTCTGTTGCCCCTTCACCTGGTCACTGAACCGCTCTCTCGTTCCTTCCGCCTACCATGCTTCCTGTGCCAGGATGCTTGACGGCAACGCATTGGAGTCTCCTATCGCGACAAGATTGAGTGGACTGAAGGCGTTGAAGCGCATGTGAGTTGTGCTCTACTTTGCTTCGGTACTTGATGCCACGGTTACGGCACACCACGGCAAGAAGGGAGACACCAGTCATGAGACACACTAGCTGTCACCTGTGGGCGGTGCAGTGCAGGCATGCCCACCGACCTCTCTAGTGTGGTCGTGCACGCTTGCTTTAAGTGCGCTTGCAGCATGGGTGTGCAAGGGAGCATTGGTCTGCAGGATAGCTGGTTGTTGAGTAATCTCGTGAGCCCATCTAGTGTGTCATGAAACAAATGGACGGACTTGGATGAGTTAGTGCAAGTTTCACCCACTACGATAACATTTGCTTCGTATTTGAGTAGGGTTATTGGAAGAGATGCAGTTGTGTGAACTTGAGAAGGAAAGAGAAGGAAGCAGTATCGATCGGTAAGGTGCTTTAGAGTAAACCAGCATCTATTCCAAGGCCAGGGGATTCTAGCATGGGAGCCCCTTCTATTAGTTCCAAATTCACTACCACAAGGATTTGCGTGGAAGAGCAACCCAGTGCAGGTTATGAGTCCACGTCTCTTCAACTCACTCACCCCACAATCTCTTTTGCGCTCCCTTTGTTTCCCATTCCCCCCATTTCGTTCATCCTTTTCTATCGACCATGCCCAGGGATGTGAGCAAGAACAAGTTCTCAGAGAACTTTCCAAGTGCCCTCACCCGGATGACACGAGTGGAGCACATGTGAGCACATGAGTGCATGTGAGCACATGAGTGCATGTGAGCACATGAGTGCATGTGAGCACATGAGTGCATGTGAGCACACGAGTGCATGTGAGCACACGAGTGCATGTGAGCACACGAGTGCATGTGAGCACACGAGTGCATGTGAGCACACGAGTGCATGTGAGCACACGAGTGCATGTGAGCACACGAGTGCATGTGAGCACACGAGTGCATGTGAGCACACGAGTGCATGTGAGCACACGAGTGCATGTGAGCACACGAGTGCATGTAAGCACATGAATGCATGTGAGCACACGAGTGCATGTGAGCACACGAGTGCAAGTGAGGAAATGAGTGCATGTCACACGAGTGCATGTGAGCACATGACTGCATGTGAGCACCTAGGTCCATGTGAGCACATGAGTGCATGTGAGCACTCAGGTCCATGTGAGCTCATGAGTGCATGCGACGTTTGAGCTCGTGGCTACTTGTTTTGCAGCTTGTTAGAGCTGCGTGTGTGCAAGTGAGATTGAGAATGGATGGGCATGCTGCTCCGTTTCCGACAACAACAAGGCTTGATGCTTCTGCACGATACCCACAACAACCACCCACATGCACAGCTAGCGTCTGTTTATGCGCACCCGAAATTCCTCCTCACCTTCTCCTCTTCCCCACCATCCATCTCCAAAGTAGGGTGACTGTTGAGGCTTCCCATATCACCTCCCTTTTCCTCCCATCTCCTCCCCTTTCCCCCACCTCAACCATCTTCACAGGAAGCTGAGCAACAATAACTTCACAGGCAGCATCCCTGCCTCCATCAGCTCTCTTGCTTCCCTCATCTACCTGTACGCTTCCCTCACCTACCTGTACGCTTCCCTCACCTACCTGTACGCTTCCCTCACCTACCTGTACGCTTCCCTCACCTACCTGTACGCTTCCCTCCCACTCACACACCTGTTCACCTCACTCGCACATGCCCCTGCACGTCTCACTCGAGACAAGAGTGCGGTCTTACACTTTGCTCATGTTGAGTGAGAGCCTCACAGGCAATACACGGGTACTCTCCATACCCTCATGCTGTGTGGTGCCAATGCTACGTACTGATTACCCTTGCCCCTGTGTTGAATCTTTCGGTGGTTGCAATACACCAAATGTTTACTTGGCCTTATTCCCCTTTCCTCTCTCCCTCACCCACAAATCTCGGATCCTCCAGTGACCTAGGCTACACATTGCTGGACGGCACTATCCCCACTGCCATCACCAAAATGCGACGCCTGTCTTGCCTGTAATCTTGACTCTGAACAATTCTAGTGGGACCTTCTATGTGTGCCGGGAACAAGATGCACGTGTAGCATGTGCTCGCTGCTTTGCATCTCAAAACTCCACATGCATCTCTCTTTCTTTTCTCTTTTTGAGAATTCCCACAAGTGACTTCAATTGAGCATCTAAGCCAGTCCTACCAACCCTGTTGTTGACCCCTTATACTCACCATAATTTGCGTTCATGCCTCTCACCCTTTGCCATCATAACGCTCTCGTTCATGCCTCTCACCCTTTGCCATCATAACGCTCTCGTTCATGCCTCTCACCCTTTGCCATCATAACGCTCTCGTTCATGCCTCTCACCCTTTGCCATCATAACGCTCTCGTTCATGCCTCTTGCGTCGTCCTCTTCTTGTTCTAATCCCACCTCCATCTCCCTCGTAAAAGCCACCATCCTCTCATTGTCTGTTGCGTCGTTGCTCCACCAAGCCACCATGCCACAACGCCACTATG